GTCAGAGGAGAACTTGACTCACTGGGAGAAACTGCCTGAGCTGCTGCTATCTTTGCATCCCAGGTGAAGTTTCCAGAACACCAATAGACTACTGAGCCCATGAGCCCTCTCAAATTATTTATTTTTTTAGGAAATGAACAAAAGATATCCAAGATTGATAAGAGAAATGTTGAGTGCACAGAAAAAGAGGAAATAAAGATTACCAAATTCTGGTGCGGTATATGTTCCACTGTCCATATGAAAAATATTCCCAAACAGCTAAAGTTTTGGGTTAGTTTCTGACTAGCTTTAATATTAAGTAAAAGGAGTACTCTATTTTTTCTTCTTCCTTTTTATGGGGATTGTATCTCTATTTTGTTAACTTCTTCATATTTCACTTGCATTATTTCCATCCTGATTATCTTCCAAATTGGCCAATTGGTTAATTAAAAAAAAAAAACAAACAAAACCCACAATGTAATTTATTCAGTACCTCACTAAGAATTAATCAAATGATATACTTTTTCAACAAAATTGTTTACATGATTGCCATTTGTATTCCTAAAGAGATTAGTTTTAGTAATTAGTAATTACTAAATTAATAGCAGAAATAATTTTAGTTCCAAGCAATAGCAGTAAAAAAAAGAGAACTGCCTAAGCATTTCAAATTTCATCACCTTTTATTCCCTTTGCTTCACCTGATGAAAAAAGAGGTGGAATTTACTGAAATTTTCTGCCCTCCCCTCTTCTCTTAAATAATCAGTACTTTAAAAGTATTAATCTTTCCACTTACCTCTTGCCACAGCTCTTCTTTTTCCTCTCTTATGCTCCAAATGCCAAGGGAAGGACTTCCAGCTTATACTCACTTCAAGCAATTAATAATAAAGCTCTACAGATATAAGGAAAATAAATGTATCATTAAATTTGTAATATCTAAACAATTTCTTTCCTTCCACTACTACTCAGTATTAATTAATAGCTAAAACATTTACTCAGAACTTTGCATTCTCAATACACCTTGCAAATATGGACTAGTGATTAAATATGTGTTTGGGGAGCAGTGGGGTATGGTTATCCTTTACCTTGATGGAGCTGACCACTCTGGCTGCTTGCTATGGTAGAGGAGTGTTAGCCACTCCACAGTATTAAGCACTTTTCCAACTAACAGGCAACTTTGCAACGGCCTCACATTAGATAGAAATTGTCTTGAATATTTCCATGTTTTCCTAGGGAACAGAGAAGGGTTAACAGCGTAAATCTGGAATTATTTAGGCAGGGACTTTCTGAGACAAAAGAACAAATCATAACACTTCTCTGTTCTTGTAAGACTTGTGTGTACTCATCTATGGCATTAAACTATCTCAGCTTGAGATTGCCGCATTATTTTATTCCTGAACTAGTGTCTAGCATCAATTCCGATCTAGGGAAGTGATGTTTTGAACTTTATCAAAGACTTTCTTGCTCTTTGAGCAGACCTGTGTCTGGGATGTGTTCCAGGGAATTTCTGAGAGCTGTTTGTTGCAGCTGGTCCTGGCTGAGTTTTGCTGGTGCAACACAGCACAGAAAACGTGATGACTGTCCCTGTATGAATGGCAATTTGGCAGGGAATGAGAAAACACAGGGGCTGCAGAGACAGCGTGATACACACTTATTCTCTGTTCAGCACAATTTCCCCAGGTGAATATGTACTGGAGAAGCTATGAAAGATACAGCCAGGTATCACCTAGCAAGAGAGACTAGAGTCCTGTAGTTAATAGTGGGCCAAGAGGAACTGCAAAGGTCTCCCTGCATTCATTTTGCCATCTGGGTTATAGTGGGTGTTATTGCTTTAGTGGATGCCAAATTCTCTGTGCTGGGAAGGCTCAAAGCACTGCACCACAATGGGTGTGTGTCATAAATACTGGGCAATGAATCCTCTCTGCATGGTATCTCCCGTTTCCAGCTTTACCCCTCTGCAAGTGTTCTCTCTTCTTAAAATCTATTTGCACACACAGCAAATTGCCTTCCTGATAAGGTCAGTTCTTCAAGGACCAGGGCAGGAGTCAAAGGACTTTTTCAAGGAAGCACAGAGGATTGTCACTGGTACAGAGACAGGCTGTTTCCTGTCTGAACTTGCTGTGCTTTTCTCAGAGAGCTAAATCCTGTTGTCCTTATTTGGTCCTTACATACTCAAAGTCTTCCTTAACATCAAGGGTAGGATTTGCCTAAGTTTTGCCAGACTAAGTAAATTCCTTTTCAGCAAGGACAGTTGGTTTAGTTTAAGTTGCATTACCATCAAGATATGCTGCAGGAACCCCTAAACATAAAGCATATATGCATTTTACACTTTTCTGGGTTGTTTTTTTTCCACAATCTGAGGGCAGAAACTCCCAGTGGAGTCAAAGAAAGCCTTCCTATCACATCAGAGGCCTTAGGCTGATGTTAAAATGCCAGTCCTGCTAGATTCTGAATTGAACTAATGAGTTGCCTTCAAGCCAATGTGCTGCTAGGGTCCTTTTTTTTTTTTTTTCAAAATGCACCTAAAGCATAGCTTTTCTTAGTGCAAAACTTTCACTTGGATATATTTTAATTTCTGCTTGCAATATATTCCCACTGTGAAATCTTAGCTGCCAAATCATGCCAGGTGTATGATTCCATACTTATGCACAGATACTGCTCCCTTTTCGACACAGAAAGGCCTTCTAGTGTTTCTCCAGGAAGACATGAAACTCCACCTGTGCTCTATCTGCCTCACACAGGTGTCTGGGTTACTCTGCAGTGTCTAATATGACAAAAGCCACCTATATTTAGACAATCAATCGGAACACTATCCATCCACCAATGGCTAGATTTTGATTCATCTGGAATAAATATAAATAAAGTATAAATAAGCAATACAACTGAGCTATGGTTGTTCTGTACCTTGATTACACAATTTGTATTACTACAATGAAACAGAAAAGCATGCAGCAAATGCCCTGAATCTGGTATGGTATTGCTTTGCTACGTTTTGCATAGGGATCAAAGGCAATGTGAAAGCTAGTCCTCTAAACTCAGACTTCTCCTACTACTTTTACTCAGCATATTAAAAGGTTGAGATGCAGGGGTAGGAAAGAGGTGCTATTTTCAGCTTTCAATCTGTGTTGGAAGTCAGAGAAACAGAGAAATGCTAGAGAAATGGAAGAGGAGCCCTGGACAAGCAGCCATCCTCTGAAGGACCCCAGCAACTTAGGCCCATACCTCCATATTGGAAAGACAGTTGCATCTCTGTGCCCTGTAGATGCTAGGCAGAAACATCAAAATATTTCAGTTCTGATCTGCAGGACCCTGCCTGACCTTGACACAGGCAATCACATCAAGTCACAGAGTTTGGATCCAGATCTGGTTCTGAGTTTCGCAGAAGTTTGCAGAAATCAGGATCTTGCCATTTATGATTTTAAGAATATCTCTACCTGGCATGTAATCCTTGCTGATATAAATTGAAGCCCTCTGCTTTCAGTGTTGATGACTGTTGAATTACATCTGCTTTCAGCTGATGCATCAGACCCATAGTAAGAGCACAAATGTTCCTCATATAAACATAAAAATGTTGAGATAAATGCTGTATAAAATGAACGCACAAGTCTGGCCTCATTTCTCTCACATACTTCTTTAACTTTGTTCAAAGGATTTATTTTTATAATGTGCAGCAGGATGAGTTGGCTTCGCTGACCCACACCTTTATGCAATATTTACTTTAACGGCGGTCGCATCCTTTCCAGAAGGTTTCATTTCTCCATTATGTAACTGCAAGTTATCTGCGCTGGCACATTAAAGGGTGGTAACTGTGGCAGACTGGCTGGGTGTGGTGAGTGTCAGTGTGCTGTCAAGATACTTCAGTCCCCAGAGTGGTTGCTGGCATTGAAAGCAGAGGAGGACCTCCTCCCTTGGCCCCGAGCACTACAGAGACACACGCAAAGGCTGCAGTCGACACGAAGACCTTTTGACCCCCCTTATCTAAGACTATACCCCTTCCTTCCAATCAGAGAAACACTTGGAAGCTGAGTGGCACTAAATATTGGGTGTCTCTGTGTAAATACAAAATATACTTGTACCCAAAGCAGGAAAATAGATGTGATGAATAAAAGAAATCAATTATTCTTCCTGTTTCAGCTGGAAAAAATGTTACTGTTTCCCTTCTCCTTACCCTGAATTTCAGAAGTAAAGGGAAACGCCTGTTATTTGCAAATTGTTGATTATAGAAGAGCCATATTTCCCTCCTGCAATGTGCATTTGAACAACTAAATCTGCAGCATTCTGCCAGAGACTGTTTAGGCTTGTTCATTTTCAAAGAACTTCCATCTCCATGTATTTCTGGCAGTTCTATTGATCAAAGGGAGACATTTTGATTGATTTAAAACTAACCTCGTAAAAAATGGCTTTACTAGTGCCGCCAGCTTGGTCTTTGTTTTTGAGAAAGTTTCTTTGTGTCATGGTTCTTGCCACTGTCTGTTAGGACTTTAAATGGTTAACATGTGAATGATTATGAAATCATTCATCCAAATTCATAAATCAGCTGGAAAAAACACTCCAAGTGTTCAAAGTACTACCAGTTCCTATAACTGAAAGACATACCTGCTTTACATCAATTCATACATATTAAATCCATATAAAGGACATAAAAGAAACACTATTAAACTGACAGCCTTATAATCTACTGTCCCTGTTACCAGCAAAGCACCATACTTGAGGCATTTATGTACATGTCTAACTATCCAAGCATCTATCTGCTTCTGCAACTCACAGTTTTCCTTGGGCTTCTTGCAACAGCTTTTAAAAGAAATTCCACAAGTTTGTGAGGCTTATTTCCTCTTCTGAGAAGAACAAACTCCATCTGTTCATGACATAAAACGTAAATCCTCAAGTCAGTGTAGCAGAATAGTTAATATACAATCTTCCTATTTTGCACAAAAGCTGTGCAAGGCACCAGCCAGAGAAACCCTGAGTACTGGGTGAAACAGCTTATCTGGTGATTTGGTCAGCCACATACTCAAACTTTGCAGTAAAATTTTTTCACTTGCTGCTTTTTTCCTTAGGTAAAGTGGAAGCGGCACTGGACCTCATACTGATCAATTCATTCCCTCTGGTGGGCAACTCTGAGACATCACTTATCTGTATCACTTCCAAATGGCGTTCCCGTGAGTCTATCACAATAGACCGAGACCAGGAGGATGTGACAAACCAGCATCGGGAACCACTGGAAGTTAATGAAGACTCAAAGAGAGCAACAGCCAAAACAGTGGTGTGGAAGAGGGAACAGGCCAGTGAAACTATTGGAGCATATTACTGTGAAGGGAAACTCAAGGATGAGGTGACAAGGATACATACCATGAAGATGCCGCTGGGAGGTACTGTATGGTGGTCAGATCTGAATTTTGCGTGTCACTGCTTGCAGACTGGCAGTTATCCCTTGTTGACCCACGTGGGCACAAACGTGGCTCCAGAGCAGGCAAGGCAGTCTGGAGTCAACAATAATAGACTTGGCTCAAGCCCATGTTTTTTTTTCTAAAGTGCAGAGACAACTGGTCAATACTAGCTGCTAGTCATTTCCTCGTGGAAGTTAGTCAGACATTTGTAGTTATTCTGCCTGTATCTGGCTACTGCCAGGAACACAAAGTCAGGTGGCAAGTACTGGCCACACTGACCTCAAACATATATGGTAACTCCTGCACTGGGTTTTTCACATCCCAGATTTCTAAACACGCTTCCATTTTAAAGTCTTGACAGGTCTGAGATGTAGATAGCTAAACATCACTATCTTTTTTCTTTGAGTAAATGGGCAACCTGAGCCTAGAAAATAACTGCCTTGCCTAAGGCTCAGTAAAACTACAGATCACCAACATTGGATCTGCACAGTCTGTGTCAGTATGGAAAAAAACAATCCAGCTCAATACTGGAAAGAAAATCCAGAGAAGTTTCCCAAAATCTAAGAAGTTTATTCACAAAAATCCACTATGGATTTCAGTATTGACTTAGTTTTGGTTTTAAGGCTACGCACAGTAGAAAAAAAAAATATGGCAGGGAGATGGTGGGAGCAGAAGGTGGGATTTCCAAGGCCCAGCACTCTGGCTATTAAAATACATTTTCTTATATGCAAAATTTCACTTGTCCCTGGACCTAATTAGACTCCTGGGACAAGTTCCAAAGCAAAGAGATCACCATAAACTACAGAAAAGTGTAAGAAATTTTGGTTAATTTTCTGCAGCAAATCAAGTTTACAAAACTTCAGCCGATTTTTAGTAGACTTCACTGTATTGCTAATGTTTTGTGCCACGGCAGCTGGTCTGCGAGGAGACTTGACACTTTTAATCTATCTTTATAAGGTTTTAGTAAAAGGAATTACCATTGTTGGTATATCCTGAAATTACACAGCAAATTTAGAAAAAGAAGATTTCCATTTGTCTGAGCTACAGCTAGTGTCCACTTATTTCTTCTAGTATGGGAACATTAGAAGCAAGGTGGGTAGGAGAAGTGAATTTTTCTTTGGCATATGGTTTCTCTGACCAAATGTGGTCTTTGAAGGGTTGGACTGGTCACCAAGAAAGCTCTGCAGATGCAGGCTGACAACTCCATTGTTTTAAAGGAGGCTGCAATGAGGAGGAGGAGGAGATAAGATAAGATTCCATGGAAAGTCAATGTGACCCTGCCTGTGGCAGAGTGCCAGTGAGCTGAGCACATCTCTGGCTGTTGTGTAGAACAACCTCCACGGGTGGAAAAGTGTCTTCTGAATCAATCAGTTTTTTGCACTTGGTATCTGTGGACCTAGAGGCAGAGAATTTAAAGTAATCAAATTTTGAGAGCTTCCTATGTGACAGAAGTTATTCTAACCAGAAATAACACAACATTCATGGTAGGTAGGTTTCTTTGAATCATTTCTGGGTTTGAATCCATTTCTCAGATTTTCTCTGCAAGAGCTTTTACTGACAAAATTTGAGCTAGCAACTCGTCAGTGAATGCATATAATCTAATCAGGCTAGATGGGTGAGAAAGAGGTGCGACAGAAATTCTCAAAGCTATTAAAGTGCACAGAAAGAGGAAGAAGAGGTCAGTGAAGGACTGTGAGGTTTGGCAAAGCATCTGTAGTTGGAAAACAGGCCTTTTTCCCCTTTACTGTTGTTGTCTGAATAATTTTTAAAAGCAGAGTGTGTTTTTCAACACCAAAAATTGAGCAAGAGTTGAAATGTGCATTTTCCCATTGAGGACACAAAAGGCATGGGAAGGAGCAGCAGCTCTGAAAATCTGGCCACTTTTTTTCAACCTCAGGGCAAGAAGCTGCTGAAACACTCACTAAGCATTAATCATTTGGGTAGCCCCACTGATTTTATTGGGAACTGTCATCTGCTTGTTTATGTACCTATTATCAGTTATGCAGGTACAGTGAAGATTTTTGCTGTATAGTATGGAAAGATAACAGGTTAATTTTCCTGTTTTACTCTACACGTCTGCCATTCTGAAAGTAACGAGTCTGTTCTCCTGAATTCTTTATATTTTAGCATTACGGTTACACATGTAATACTCATACGTGCAATGAGAGGGAACAGACTATGCTTTAAATATATGGGGAGTAATGCTTATACTGTATACAGCACACATATCTAGAATAGAACACCATATAGCCTGTTTTGCATCTAATCAAATGTAATTTATGTAATTTCTCTACACAGTAAATGTGTATTTTCATATATATGATTGGGTTTCCACCCCCAGAAACTCTCTAGAGCAGGCAAAGGGACAATAATGGAAATGCTAGCAACAGAGTGTTATGGCACTTGCCCTACAACTCAGTTCATTATGTCTCTATAAGGAATTGGCACACTTGAGATGTGAAATCATGAAATACAAGTCACAATCTAAAAATACGTTGGAATTGAGCCCACCAGGGAGTGTGGGTTCCTTTCCATTGCAACAATACTCTGAAAAAAAAGTCTTGTGGTTAAGCTAAGCATACAATGAAAAGAAAATGGGAATACAAAAGTTTCGTATCTTGTTAAAACAATCAGTAATGCCTCACTAAATTCGGTTCAAAAAACACGGCAACTAAAACACTTCGGATCATTTTTAACTAACAATTCATTTTTGGGAAAGCTATTGAATTTTTTTTTCCTAAATAGATCACGATTTTCACCATGCATTTGCTATTTATAAATAACTTCTAACTCGGGAGCAGACAGTAAGTTGGGACTGCTTTTTGTTTTTGTTTGCCTATTTTTAAGGAGATCTTATTTCATTATTCTGTATTGGAATTCTCTGTTTCTCTAAGATGTAAGTTCAGATACCAGTGCCTAGGTAACTTGGCAAATGCTCAATAGATTCCCATGCATGTGGTTAGTATCATGCGGGAAGAGTCCTGAGATAGCACTTACAAACGAATGAAAACATGTGGCAGAGGCTCAGAGCATGAACACTATAACTGTACAGGGGATGGAAATTCCATTCTGCAAAGAACTGTGAGTTTTGAATAGTTGTCATATTTCCAATCTCAAATAAAACATCAAAATGTCAAAATTCTCAAAGAAATAAAATTCTGGGAGAGAGGTTGGCATGGAGTGATAGAAATGTCTTCATTTTTACTCCAATTATCTTTCTTTAATTTTACATCACATAATGTAATACAAACATTTTGATTTTTAATTAAAATGCCATTCTGAAACGGAAGTATTAAAATGTTCTTTCCTCAAATATTGCAAGAATACTACCTTTTTTTTCCCCTCAGATTTTACAAAACACTATTGTGCAGGTACTAACACAGTTTCAGCCTCATAGAAACTTTGATGTAGCATCTACCTGCTCATTTTTTACAGCTCTATTACATATATAACATAACAGAAAGTTAGTTCATAATTTTTTCTCTGCTTTCTGATCCTAGCTTGCCAAGCCACTCTCCATCATTTATCAGCAGTCCTGGTCAACCGGGGAGGTCCCAGATGACTGGAAGTTAGCAAATGTGATGCACCTCTACAGAAAGGGTTGGAAGGAGGATCTGGGGAACTACAGGCCTGTCAGCCTGACCTCGGTGACGGGAAAGGCCATGGAGCAGATCATCCTGAGTGCCATTACACGGCATGTGTCGGACAACCGGGGGATCAAGCTCAGCCAGCATGGGTTTATGAAAGGGAGATCCTGTTTCACTAACCTGGTCTCCTTCTATGACAAGGTGACCCGCTTAGTGGATGAGGGGAAGGCTGTGGATGTTGTCTACTTGGACTTTAGTAAGGCCTTTGACACTGTCTCCCACAGCATTCTCCTGGAGAAGCTGGCTGCTC